CCAGGCACATTTAACAAGAAGAGAATGTAACTGCTATGCAAAATAGGATCAAGATGTGCTAAAATAAAGGTGCTTCCTAATAGTAAATGAACCGAATATACCAAAAAGATGTAACAGTCATGACTTGAAATGTGTGATAAAAGCAAAACAGGTAGAAATTGTTGAAGGCTTCATCACTGTAGTAGATTGATAATGAGACAAAAAAAAATAAAAGTGGTGGGGGGGTTGACTGTCTGCTTGTGAGCTGTCATACAATGTTTTTTGGGTTTTTCTCCTTAAGAGATGAAATAACCAGTTACTATTGCTACATAACAAATAGCCCCAAACCTAAGGGACTGAAAGTCTCGAAAGTAGAAGTGACTTGAGAGTGCAGGACTGGAATCATCTGAGTGCTTGCTCACTTACCTCACCTATCAGGTATCTGGGCTTGGAACGAACTGAAGACCGCTGACCAGGGGCCCGGGCGCACAGCCTCTTCATGTGGCCAGGCTCGCTCACCTCTAGTAGTCTTGGAGCAGTTGAACTTCTTATGTGATGGCTCAGGGTTCCAAGGATGAGGATTCTAGAAAAAACAGAGGCATCATCACCTTTTGTGACCTAGCCTCGGAAGTCACATAGCATCATTTCTCTCATATTCTGTCGGTTGAGATGGTAGTAAAGCCTCCCAGGTTTAAGGTAGAGGGACACAGACTCTTCTTAATGGGAGTATCAGTTTAAGGACATATCTTGAAAATTCATCAGTCTAAAATCTAGCCTCGTTTTCCTTCCATATGCAAAAATACTTCTCTTTCCAGAGATGCTGCCTGCCCAGGACTGAGGGTCTGAAATCAGGCCAAGGTGCAGCTGAGACCCCCTGGTGTGCTTTGCCCCTCTCTCACAGCTCCTGGAGAACCCTGGGAATCCTCTGGGCAAGGCTAGTGGTGATGGGTCATTTTATTTTTGAATCGCATAAATCTGGATGGATTTCATTTTGATCTCTGATTTTTGCTTGAAAACTTAGTTCCTTTTTTTTTTTAAACCTTATCTCTTTCTGTTCTGTCTTATTGTGGATTAATCCATTGTTGCTTACACTGTTCTGCATGGTGATCTGCTTAGACAGATCCACCAGGGTAGTTGGCATTTGCTCTATTTTCATTGTTGCCACAGGCAACTTGATCAGCAATCTTTTCATGGCTCTTCCGGCCATGATTGCCAACAAGTCTCAAAACTAGTACTGTGTGGTTTAGATTAGTAATATCTCCTGGCCCCATGTTTTGTATGCATTACTTGTGTTCTTTTAACAAATCAGTAGAAAATTTAGTTAGGAAAAGCAGCAGTCTGAGATGACTTGAAGACCATGATCAAATAGCCTACACTCAGCCTCTTTATGAGGTTTAATGAATTCACAGCATGGCAGACTCAGGGTAATTAAACATGTGTGGTGGTTCATGGCTCCAAGCTAAGTATTCCAACAAACACAGGGTTAGGGAAAACTGCATCTTTTTTTATTAATGCTTGAAAATAGCTTATTATCACTTTGGCCCTACAAGCCTTCCCAGATTCAAAGGAAGGGAGCAGGACAAATGTCACAGAATTTCTCATCCAACAAGTTATTAACAAACAAGAGAAAGAAATGTTTTATGTTTAGTTATTCCTTGAGTTATGGCCTAATCGGTCACAGATAAACAATGTTAAAGACTAATCTGTGCAGTTTATGCCACTTTTAAAAAATAGAAATCATGAAAAGAATAGGATTCATGACTATACCTACAATATATTTTTTAAAGAACTTATATGAATAAGGGCTTAATACAACTTGGGATAAAATTTCCAATGATAGCATCACACTTGGATTATTATTTTTTTTTTCTTAATTATATTCATGTGAAAGGCAGAGAAAGAGCTCTGCCATCCTCTGGTTTACTCTCAGATTACCTACAATAGACATAGCGGGCCTGGCTAAAGCCAGGAGCCAGGAACTCAGTCTGGGAACTCAGGATCCCGAGCTGTAACCTGTTACCTCCCAGGGTACTCAGTAGGAGGAAAGGGAGCTGTAACCCAGACCAAAGCCCAAGGGCCTAAACCCAAGTGCTGGCTTAACTGTTACAGGAGTCTTAGATGCTGAACCACTCACTTACCCCACATACATGAAGTCTTTAAATCCTGCTTGTATCTCCAATAGCTTAGATACTGAAACAGTGACTGATGACTTAAAAGTGCCTCGGGTTGGTGCACACTTATATTGACTTAAATAATGAAGAGAATGAGTAAACTACTTAATTAAAGCCAGAGGGAGCAGCCATTTGGCGCTGGTTAATTAAGGTGCTACTTTGGAGAGCTGCATCCCATATCAAAATGCATGGCTGCACTGCATTTCTAACACTGCTGGTGCACACTCTGCTGGTGCACACGCTGCTGGTGCACACGCTGCTGGTGCACACGCTGCTGGTGCACACGCTGCTGGTGCACACGCTGGGATGGCCCAGTTGATTGGCTCCTTGCTACCCACATGGAAAACCGGTTAAGTTCTCAGTCCCTGGCTTGCACCTGACCAGCTTCTGCAGTTGCAAGTATTTGGGGAGTAAACTAGCAAATGGGAAATCTGTCTCATTCTTTCTGTCTTTAAAAGTGAATAAAACTTTTAAATAAAGGAAAAATAGTATTTTAAATATGTGCATATTTATATAAATATATCTGTATCACTGAAAGTTTAATCAAATTAAGCATTTTTTTAGATTTTCTTAGAAAATTAATCAGTCCTATGTTTGAGGTTGCCATATACTGAACTGTATAAACCATATAGCATTATACCGCAGTAAGCAAGCATTGCAGGACAATGGGATAGCTATACTTGGTATATATTTACATAAACTATATATTCTGTCAAGGAGAACAAAAATGCTAATATTTTTAGATGAATCCAATTTTTTCGTGTTATTGCCTTATATTTCATTTAAATACTATTAGGAAAAATGAGCTTACTTATAATTTCCTTCAGAATTTAATTTCATAAGGCTTCTATATAGAGCTAACTTAATCTAGAAGGCTTATTAAATTCTACAAAATGGGAGCAGGGTAATTTAATTTGTACAGCATATTTATATCTTTCAAAATGTGTTCTCATTCAGGTTTTCCAATAACTTGGTGTGCTTTTCAACAAGTTATTAACCATTAATTTCCTAATTTTTTGTATCAGGAAATAACTGTTAATTATTCTTAAGCTTCTGGAATCTTTTATAGTCTTCAGTCTAAATGTAGGGAAGTAGAATTTAGTAGACCTGAACCAAATGGTGCAATCCTTAGTTTAATGAAAATAAAAGTGCCTCTTCCCTTTAAAGCGTGTGGTTTGACATCACAAATGCTAAATATCTAGAAAGAATTGACATAATTAAGTAAAAACAAATTATGGTAACTTTATAAAGTATAGTAGGGATGGGTATTTGGCCCAACAGAGAGGCTACCCTTGAGACCCACATGTCACATATTGGAGTGCCTGCGTTTGAATCCTGGCTCTGCGTCCAGTTCAGCTGCAATGTCACCTAGGAGGTGGGGGTGATTGGCTTCCTGCCCCCCCAGGAGCGAGACAAGGTTGGATTTGTGTGTCTGCTTCGGCCCCTGCCCTGCTGTAGGGAGCGTTTGGTGAGTGAGCCAGAGGATGGAAGATCCTTGCCTGTCTTTCTGCCTTTCAAATAAATAAACTTCTAAAAAGATAACAGATCTTTCAAACTTTAAAAAATTTTATTATTTTAAAAAATTAAATATGCTTGTCCACCTGATATAGTTTTTAGCATGTACTGAACCTGAAACAGCAATCTAACAATGATTCACGATAATTACCCTTATGAAAATTGCTATAAAATGGAAATTTTAAGTGAACTATATTGGTAAAAGAATTTTCGATAGCCATATTATGTGAAATATTTTTGATTAAAATTATTTATATAGAGTAGGACCATTCTGGCTTTTTTTTTTTTTAAGATTTGTTTATTTCTTTGAGAGGCAGAGTTAGAGTGAAATCTTTCTACTGGTTCATTTCGCAGTAGCCCACAATGACCAGGACTGGCCCAGGCTAAAGCCAAGAGCCAGGAAGTTCATCCAGGTCTCCCACATGAGTGGCAAGTACCATTTTTTTCCTTTCCTAGGCTGTTAGCAAGGTGCTGGATAAGAAGCAGAGCAGCCAGGACTCAAATAGGTACTCTAGTATGGAGTCATGGGCTGCCAGAATTAAGAAAACAGTGGCTGAACCCACTGCATCACAGCATCCATCCTGGGACATTTCTTTTAACCGTGCCCTCCAACTAACAAAAACTATACCTAAATCGTTACATTGATGCACACAATCTAAGGCTTCTAACTTCTGCAAGTATTACATTGCCATAGGGCCTGGCAGTGTGGCCTAGTGGCTAAAGTCCTCGCCTTGAATGCGCCCAGGATCCCATATGAGCGCCGGTTCTAATCCTGGCAGGTCTACTTCCCATCCAGCTCCCTGCCTGTAGCCCGGGAAAGCAGTCGAAGATGGCCCAATGCTTTGGGATCCTGCACCCCTGTAGGAGACCTGGAAGAGGCTCCTGGCTTCAGACCGGCTTCGGATCGGTGCAGCACTGGCCGTTCTGGTCACATGGGGAGTGAATCATCGGACGGAAGATCTTCCTCTCTGTCTCTCCTCCTCTCTGTATATCTGACTTTGTAATAAAAATGAATAAATCTTTTGAAAAAAGAGAGATATATAATAGACACAACAAAGTGATTTTACGTAAATTATACCTACCCAACAACCAATGCCATGTACATTTGTTAAAATAGTGTTGTCAGTTTGCTAGTAGCTTTTTTATCTAAAGAAACTGGTTAGTGTTAATGTTTAAGCTACTTTTAAGTGTTTCATACACGGTTATAATCTCGAAACTATCAGCATTATTTTATATTCGTCTTTCATGAATTAATACAGTTCATATTTTTTAAAGGTTAAAGCATGTTCTATCATAGCCATTTTGTTTAGCCATTTTCTGTGTTCACTTCTATAGCTTTTCTACAGTTGGATAAAAAGGGACCGCAAAAACATCACTTTGAGCAGCCTGCAGTAGTACCTAGGAAGAACTACTCTTTCTCAAGAGAAGAAGTGAGACAGATCGATCAGGAAAATCAGAGGCTTTTGAAAGAACTGTCAAGACAGGCTGAAAAACCAGGAAACAAAAGTGCAATTCCCAGAAGAGCAGCAGGCCATCCCCCAAAGCTGTATCATAGTGCTCTCAACAGGCAGAGGGAACAGCAGAGGATTGAGAGAGAGAATTTGGTAAGTCACAAACATTCTTTTTAAAGATTGATTTCTTTTTGTTTGAAAGGCATAATGACTGAGAGAATGGAGGAGAGACGAAAGTTTTTTGTTTCCATCACCATAGGAGCTGGGGAACTGGGATAGCATATTCACCCCCCCCCCAAAAAAAAAACCCCAGAAAACTCTGTCTTCTTAAGCCCTTCAAGAAAGTTAGCCTGCATGTGGCAAATAATAACAGCAATAAAGCAAGCTGAAATAAAGCTGAATAGCGGGTGGTTGGGCTAAATGATAGTTCTGGCACCTCACATTAGAAATATTCAAAATTCATGTTTTGTGAAAATGAAATCACTGTATGTCACAGACATGTGATTCACTTTTTAAAAAGATTTGTTTTTATTTGAATGACAGATTTTATATGGAGAGAAAGAGAGACAGAGAGAGGGGGGTTTTCCCTCTGCTGGTTCACTCGACAAATGGCCGCAATGGCCAGACTTTCCAGAGCCAGCTTTCTCTGGGTCTCCCGCGTGGGTTTGGGAGCCCAAGGACTTGGGCCATCCTCTACTGCCTTCTCAGGCCACAAGCAGAGAGCTGGAATTACATGAAGAAGTGGAAGCATGAGCTGGCGCCTATATGGGATACTGCCACCAGAGGACAGAGGATTAGCTCTGTGTACCGTACCACCGTGCCAGTGTCTGGGTTTACTTTTTGGTTGTATTTCCTAACTTGGCTAGTAAAGCCTGTGTTATTGAATAAACAGCTATATAATTTATACTGTTTTAAATGGTAGGTCATTGGCTCACCATAGCAACTGTGACATAGTTGCTATTATGGAGAGAAACTGCTCAGAGTTGGTCTGCAGGGGGCAGAGTCTGGATTACTTTTTTTTTTTTTGTAAAGATTTATTTATTTTTATTGGAAAGTCAGATATACCGAGAGGAGGAGAGACAAAGAGGAAATCTTCCATCCTTTGATTCACTCCCCAAGGGGCCGCAATGGTCAAAGCTGAGCCTATCCGAAGCCAGGGGCCAGGAGCCTTCCTTGAGATTCCCAAGTGGGTGCAGGGTCCCAAGGCTTTGGGCCGTCTTCAACTGCTTTCCCAGGCCACAAGCAGGGAGCTGGATGGAAAGTGGAGCCACCGTAATTAGAACTGGCCACCCATATGGGATCCCAGCACATGTAAGGTAAGGACTTTAGCCACTAGGGTACCACACTAGGCGCTCCATCTGCTTTTTCAATCCCCAAATGGCTGCAGCAGTCAGAGCTGGATCAGGCTGAAGCCAGCATCCAGAACTTTTCATTTATCTCCCAGATGGGTGTTGGGTCCAAGCACTTGGGCCATCATTTGCTGCCTTCCAGGTGCGTTAGCAGGAAATTGGGTCAGAAGCAAAGCATCTCAGACTTGATCAGACATGCTGTCATTTTAAGTGACAACTTACCCTCCTGGACCACAAAAGAGGCTTACTTTTGAAAAGCTGAAGCCATTAGTATATATTGGCTGTTATGTGTGCTTGCAGGGCAAAGCCATCAGTACCTTCTGCTTACAGTTTTTATTATTCTCTGGATCAGTTGTGTGTTTCATCTATTATAATCAGAAAACTACCAGTATTTTGTTCTTTTTTGCTTTATATATGTACTATTTTGTATATGTGAACATTTTTCACCATTTGATAGTAAGGTCTTATTTGATAAGTCTGAAGCAGAAGTGTGATGTGTAATTTTAGATTTTCTAGTAGCCACGTGAGAGAAGTCAAGGAGGTGTGGGCATTTGGTCTAGCTTTTAAAGATGCGCACATTTCCGGTCAGGATGCCAGGGCTGCATGCTTGCTTCCGGTTCCTGGCTGTAGCTCTGCCCTGGTGTAGACCCTGGGAGGCAGCAGTGACTCTGGTTAGATCCCAGCCGCCTGCGTGGCAGGTTGGGATTTAGTTCTAGCCCCCTGTGCTTCATTGGCCTCAGCCTAACCCTAGCCTTTGCAGGTATTTGGGGAGTGAATCTAGGGATAGGAATATATTTTGTCTTTATTTTTCTGTGTGTGTGTGTGTGTTTTCTCTCTCCCCTCCCCCACACAAAATAAAAGAAGAAAAAAAATGGGGGCTACCAGGATGTAGCAGCCTGATCCTCCTGCAAGCAGTAGCATCCCAGAGGGATATGCCGGTCCATGTTTAGGCCACTCTTATTCTGGTCCAGTTCCCCACTGATGGCCTGGGAAGGCAACAGAGCATGGCTCAAGCCCTTGGACCCCTGCATGTGTATGGGAGACCCAAGTGATGCTTCTGGCTCCTGCTGTAGTGGCCATTTGGGGAGTTAACAGGGGATGGAAGATCTCTATCTGTAAAATCTGCTTTCCAAATAAAAATAAATAAAAATCTTTTAAAATAAATAAATAAATAAGTCAAACAGGCAAACTTATGTTTTGTTGAATGATTCAAAATTGAAAGTATTTTAACCTGTAGTCAATGTGAACTATTAATGAGAATTTTGGAGATGTACAAGAATATTTTTGTGTCTTTTAATTATTCATCTTAGTTCGGATTAACTGCATTTTGGGTGCTCTGAAATCACATGTAACTATTAGTGTCCAAGTACAACTGTAGAAAACCAATTGACAGAGAAGTGAAAAAGTGACTTAACACTACACAAGAGAGCTGAAACTCTGGCATAGTGTACTAAGCCACCTGCTGCAGTGCCGGCATCCTGTGTGGATTCTAGTTTAGTCCTGAGTCTCTGCCACATCACTCCTAACCAACAGCTTGCCAATGCATCTAGCAAAGCAGTGGAAGATGGCCCAGGTGCTTGGGCTCCTGCCACCCACATTGAAGACCTAGGTGGAATTCCAGGCCCTTGACTTTGGCCAGGCCCAGCCTCAGACATTGTGGCCATTTGGGAGTGAACCAGCAGGTGAATGTACTCCCTGTGCCCCTCTGTCTTTGTGATTTTGCCTTTCAAATAGATAAATAAATAGTTTTAAAAGCTAAACAGGAAAATAAACATAATTTTTATGAAACAGCATTTATTAGGTTTTAACTTCTCATTTTGTAAACAGAAATGTCTCGCCTGATACTGCCTCAGAACTAACTGACTCATCTTCCATTAGTTCACTCTTAAAATGCTTGTAACAGCTGGAAATGGGCAGGCTGAAGCTAGGAAGCCAAAACTTCATGAGACACAAATCCCAGCACTCAAGGAAAGATTCACATGTGCCACAACACCTACCCCCCATATACTTTCTAATAAATTTAGTAGAATGCTTATATTTAAAGCACTTACACAGGCAGACATGGTGAGAAATATTTCTGTGATTATTTTTGGGTCAGATGTACCACACAAAGAAGATCCATTACTGTATAATCTTTATGATTTGGATTCCATTATTTGCCCAAAGTCCTGTACAGAGACAGGTTCAGATGGCTGATGGGCGAGGCAGTCAAAGCATTTATTTTTTACTGCTCTCACACTATCCAAATAGCAATTCAGAGGCTATTTAGATGCAGATAATCCAAGGCCAGGAAGTAGTATTATGCCGAGGACTGCAAAGACAGTGTGTAAAATCAAGGCATTTGCAGTATGCTGGTGTTTATCTGCCCTTCTGGTGAAGCTGGAGAACCTCAATATTTTGCCTCAGTTAGCAAGTATCGCCCAAATAAACATCAAGGAAATTAAAAAAAGGTCCAGTAGAGGGCGTGCTTGCTCCATATAGATTCTTTAGAATTTGGCCAAATTACTGGTGTTGTAATTCATAAATTTTGAAATATTTTCATTTAAACAGCACTTCTTTTACAATGTATTTATTCATTTGAAAGGCAGAATTAGAGAGAGAGGTGCAGGGGGTCAGGGGAAGGTACCTTTCATCTGCTTATTCACTCCCCAGTTTGCTGCAGTCAGTCAGGGCTAGCAAGCTGAAGCTAGGCGTCAGGAACTTTGCTGGTTTCCCGTGTAGCTGCAAGGGCCGAAGCACTTGAGCCATCTTCCATGGCTTGTCAGGCCACAAGCAGGGGGAGTGGATCAGAACTGGAGTAGCCAAGATTTGAACCAGTACCTATATGGGATGCTGATATTATGGGCCGTGGCTTAATTCTTGAACACCACAGCACTTCTTATCTTTGTGTGAACATCACATGAATTTTATTTTTCTGAAAAGGAATAATTTCAGAAAGAGATACTAGTTTATTGTTCCTGTTTACCCTTTAATTAGAAGATTATTTCATTTAAAAAAATGGAGAGAGAAAGGTTGGCAGCAGCTGTCTCATCTACTTTCCCCCATTCCCTGACCCTTCCCATCCTAATCATGGTTCACATGGGCTTGCAATCTTCTCAACTATGTAAACATTATCAAAAATAAAATAAATCCATTATGAGAGAAAAAAATTACACATACATGTTTTCTCAGATGTGAGGGAAGAGATGGCGGGTGAGGGAAGTGCTGAAGCAGCTGGCGGCAGTAGGATTCCTGCAGGAGTGCAGAGGGTAAAGCCTGTAAGACATGTACACGTGTACAGCAACGCCTGTATTAGAAACATAACCAGTAGTAATCTTTTTTTCCTTTTTCTTTTATAAATTTTTTTTTAGATTCAGAGTTACAGAGGGAAAGGAAGACACAAATGGTCACAGTGGCTGGGGCTGAGGCAGCCTAAGGCCAGAGCCAGGAGCGTCTCCCAGGACCCCTAAGTGGGTGCAGGGGCCCACACACTTGGACCCTTGGCTGCTGGTTTTCCCACCCCAAAGCAGGGAGCTCGAGCTGGGCCTTGAGACAGCACTCATATGGGACATCTGTGTCACAGGCAGCACGGTGTTGATCCTTGTTAACTGTAAATCCAGAAAAAGTGGACAGTGGAGTGGACTATACAGTCTTTCCACTGAGGACCTTCCATGTTAAAATATTTTATCAAGTGAGGGTATCTTCATGTATAAATTTAGGAAATTCTGTAAGACATTACATAAAAACTAAAATCTTCTTTGCTGATTAATTTTAAAAATCATACAGAATGATGAGATGGAGAGGAATGTATTGTCACAAAGATGAAGATTTGTAGAGATCTGAAATGTGGTGTCAGTGTTAATGTACTAATTAGTATCTTTAAAATCTTGAAATAATTTTTAATTTGTTTAGTCCAGTTTTCCCTGTCTAGTTACACCTCGTGTTTCCTTCTAGAAAAGAAAGCAAACTAATGAAGACGTGTAACTAGCGGTGGGAAAGCCGGGAGAGCCGTGGTTTGATTTGTCTGTGTGTAGGACACCTGCTTTCTTTTTTACAGCCTTTCAGAGTTCTTGCTTACAAATAATAAAGCAGCTTGCCTACAGTTTGCCTGTGCTAACAGCTGTAGAAATCATGCACACATAATTTTTCATATCGAAAAATGAGGGGATATAAACTTGGTTAATTTTCTTTCCAAAAAGAATAATACTTCCCAATGTACAGGAAATATCAATACGGTATTGGTAACCACACTCATGAAACTAATAGCAAGTTTCCCATCCTGTGCTTCCCCCCACGCACACAGCTTGATGAGTTAATGAGATAATCAGTATACATGGGAGACTTCTCTCATGATTATCAATTGCAAGTACCAACGGTAGACTCTCTGGAGGCTTACGTTCCTTAATTCAATTGCCAGCTCTGGAGGCAGAGGTGAGGGACAGTGCTGGACCAGACGCAGAGGTGAGGGACAGTGCTGGACCGGAGGCAGAGGTGAGGGACAGTGCTGGACCAGACGCAGAGGTGAGGGACAGTGCTGGACCGGAGGCAGAGGTGAGGGACAGTGCTGGACCCGAGGCAGAGGTGAGGGACAGTGCTGGAACAGTTGGCGCTCCTGGTTCACCATGTGTCAGTATGCACTGCATCAGTGTTCCATAGAATCCTAAAAACTACAAAATAATACATTTTATGTACAATTTACCTCAAATACAGAGAAGAAGAAAAAGATTACATAAAGAAAACTTGTCTGTAACTAAATTCACGAGGCTAATTTTTTACATTTGAATCTTAATGCAGATCAGTACTCTGATTAAAAATAAAGATCATTTTTGCTTCAGAGAAAGTTCTGCTTAACTAGAAACATAACTAGAGCTTGATTCCCCTGAGCTATTCCTTTCTCAGTGATATCTGAAAATCAGATAAGAGCAATTCTAACTTTTTAATGTAAGGAAAATTTGTAACTAAAATTAAAGCTTACTCTTACCAAATAATATTAAAGAAAAGCCCATGTTGTTGGATACTGTGCTGACTTAGCCAGTTAGTTTATATAGCCTTTTAAACGTTTTATATTCTTCAATAGTTGGTTTTCAAACTTTAAAGCTTTTCTCCCCAAAAGTAAATATTATGCAGGATCAATATATGCAAAACAGTACAAATACTGAAAATGTGTTTGTGCTGCTAAAAATTAATGGGAAACTGGGCCCGGCGCGGTGGCGCAAATGGTTAAGTCCTCGCCTTGCACGCCCGGGATCCCATATGGGCGCCGGTTCTATCCCGGCAGCCCCGCTTCCCTTCCAGCTTCCTGCCTGTGGCCCGGGAAAGCAGTCGAGGATGGCCCAAAGCTTTGGGACCCTGCACCCGCGTGGGAGACCCGGAAGAGGCTCCTGGCTTCAGATCGGCATAGCATCGGCCGTTGTGCTCACTTGGGGAGTGAATCATTGGACGGAAGATCTTCCTCTCTGTCTCTCCTCTCTGTATATCCGCCTTTCCAATAAAAAACTAATAAAAATAAATCTTTAAAAAAAAATTAATGGGAAACTAAGAGCTCTCTGTATGGCCATTCGTTGGTGTCTTTTTAGATTGAAGGCTACCACCCTGTAATATTCAAGCATAGATATTTTGTGGTCATTTTTAAGGTTTACACTGGACTCGACATTATTAATTCCCATTATGTTACTTCAACTTAGAGTAACTTCTGTAAGATTTGAGATTATACCAATAATGGACCTTCCAATCAATGGCAGTTTGGTTAACTTTAGGGTAAGCAGAAACACTTGAAATTTTCTGAAAGCATGTTATTCAAATGATTTAAGTGACTGGGTCCCTGCAGCACATGGAAGGAGCCTGCATTGAGTTCCTGGCTTCAGGCCCTGCCCTGCCCTGGCCGTGGCAGGAATTTAGAGAGTAAATCAGTAGGGTGTGTGAGTGTGGGTGTGTTGCGGGGGGTTGGGGGTGTCTGTCTTTTGAGTTCCTTTTTTTTAATGTGTAAATGTGTAAAATCCTTGTTACTTTATGAGTATTTAGTGAATGTTAGAAACTTTTCATTCTTAAAAATCATTCTTCCATGAATTACTTGTCTCAAATGAAGGCTTTACTGAAAAGGCTTGAAGCTGTGAAGCCAACCGTTGGCATGAAACGCTCAGAACAGCTGATGGATTACCACCGCAACATGGGTTATCTCAACCCAGCTCCAGCCTCCAGACGTGTGAGGTCTATGCTCGGACAGTACAGCCCATTAAGTAAGCAGATTCACCAGGATATTATACTTGTTTGTATCTTTTACCCTTTTTTAAAAAAAATAATATGTATAACTTAGGTGCTTCTTCTAGAGTTTGGAAATTAACTTCTAGAATGTATTCTGTTTTTTTACTGGCATGTTTTACTTTGTGCTCGTTCCCTTTAGTTCATTTACATTTCAGTTTACATTTCGTTTATTTCATGGATAATACAGGAAAGTTTTAATTTGAATAATTTTTATTAAAGGAAGAAATTTAAAAATATTTTAGAAGGAAGAAATGAATAAATGTGTTTTTTTCAAAATTGTTGGAACATTCCTTCTGGCTAGTAAGAATTACTGCTAATATCTTCCAGCTTTCTCATTAGGTAACAGAAACAAAAATCAGTGAACTGTTATGCTTGGAATTAGCAAGCAAAATAACTCCTGATATGATAATGATAGATGGTTAGATACACACTTAGTCAGATGTGAACCCAAAAAACATACAAATGGAATGACCATTCAGTGCCAGGGTATTCAACATCTAGAAGGACCACTTTGCAGAGATCTGTGTATACATTTATGTGTGTATCTAAGCCATAAATATATGTGTATATGTATATATGTATATACACACACACATACACACATAAGCTAATAATAGGTGAATTGAAACCACTTATAATGCTATAGGCTTCCTAGTGCTCATGTGAGACTTAAATACTTAACTGACTGGTAATTCCATTTTGTATGAAGATTATCTATTTATTTGAAAGGAAGAGTTATGGACAGAAAAGCAGAGACAAAGAGAAATCTTCCATCAACTGGTTTACTCCACAAATGGACAAATAGCCAGCGCTGGGCCAGGCTTAAACCAGGAGCCCAGAACTTCTGTCCTGATCTCCCACATAGGTGACAGAGGCCAAAGTGGAGTATCTTCACTGTTTTCCTAGACACACTGAATGGCAGCTGGATTGAGAGGAGAGCAGCCGGGACTGGAGCCAGAACTTACATGAGATGATAGCGTTGTAGGAGGTCACTTAACCGGCTGAGCCACAACACTGGGCCCTGCTAGTAATTCCATTTAGTCATTCTGCAAGCATTGCATCCTTGGATAATAGCTAAGAGAGGGTCTTGTTCTAATACTCACGTTTAATATTGCACCTTGGACATAACAAGTCATTTAGTAAATAAGTATGTACATGGTGTACAAAGTAGGGGTACAAACAGATAAGTTTTTTGTTATTGTTGTTATCGTTCACTTGCAACATTTAAGAAATGCTCTATTTTTGATTTAAGAAAAAAGAGAGTTGATTGATTTGACAAGACAAGAGGAATAGAAATATCTTCCATCCTCTGATTTACTCTGGTGGCTGGGGTGGCCAGGCTGAAACCAGGAGCCAGGAACTCCATTTAGGTTTCCCTGTGGTTGGTGCTATCCAAGTGCTTGAATGATCTTGGCCTGCTTTCTCAGGCGCATCAGCAGACCACAGGATTGCAAGTAGAGCAGCCAGCACTCAAAGCAGCACTCCTTTGTGGGAGGCTAACCTTAGAAGTGGCAGCTTAACCACAAGTGCCACAATGCCAGCCCCTGAGAAGCTTTTAAAAATGTTTATCTCCACTAAATCTCATGAATCAAAATTGCAAATCTGGGGCCAGCTTTGTGGCATAGGGCATTTAGGCTCTGCTTGCAGTGCCATCATCTCATATGGGTACCAATTTGAGTGGTGCGGCACCAGCTGCTCCACTTCTAATCCAGATCCCTGTTTATAACCTGGTAGAACAGTGGAGGATGGGCGCCCGTACCCACATGGGAGACCTGGAGGAAGCTCCTGGCTTCTGAGTGCAGATCTGCTCAGCTTTGACCATTTGAGGAGTTGGCTAGTAGATGGAGGATCTCTCTATCTGGCTCTCCTTTTCTCTGGAACTCTGACCTTCAAATAAGAATAAATTCCAAATCTGGCCATGTTTGTTATTACACTTTTAGGTTGCACAGAAACTCTGAAGTCCTTGCTATTCAAGAGTCATTGCATTAGCCTCTTAGGCTAATGGGATAGAGAAGGAAATCTTGTCTGGACTTCAAAGTTGTGGGAGGGACTTGCCAGGCATTCATATGTGTGTCTAGTTCAAACCAAGTTCTTTCTTCTTCATGTTTTCAGGAGGAGCTTCCAGGACCTCCAGTGCAACCAGCGCTCTCAGCTCTAAGACTGAGCGATCGGCATTTGACAAGCCCAATGGCCTGTTGTTGAGGCCTAAACCCCCTAATGTCCGTACAGCTTGGTTATAAACCTTCTCTTCACTTTAAATGTTGTTCATACAAGTTTTATTGAAGTGCCCTTGTGTATTACTGTAATTCTCTGTATAAACATCTATAATGCTGCTTTAAGCAATTTAAAATTTGCAGTAAATTGTAACATGTTGTTCAGTGCAGAATTGTCTAAAGGACAATTTAATGTGAAATAAGCATTTTTCAAATGAGGATGTATTTATATGAAATGTATATATATTTAATGGAGAAGTGCTAGTGTGCATGAGTATTTTCTCAGGACAGAAGTTATTTCAGTTGTCTAGGTGACAAAATGGTGGCCATTAATGTCGTTGCATGCATGTTCATTCTGTGGTTCTCATTTTAAACCTTTTTTATTTCTTGTAAGCTTTAACCGTGAGCTCAGATCCTAAATTTGGCTGAATTTGTTTTTGCTTTGCTTCAGAACTAATGTAGCATGACTTGTAACTTGATGGTAGGAGAGTCATACTTTATTATTATGAAGCAGTTCTTGAAATGTGTTCCTTGATGAAGCTGGTTTCGGTTTGATAGCAGGTAGAGCGAAGCTTGTGTGTGGCAGCCCTTGGGGTGTGCCAGTGGTATCTAATACTCCTGTACAAGTACACTGAGTTAGATCTTAAGAAATTGGATTCACCATTCCAAACTAATTGAGACAGAATAGAAAATTCAACCCGGAAGCCCCTCTCTCCTGTTTCTCTGCATTTAGGTGCAATGCTGTGATTGTGTGCCGTGCAGTTTGCCTGCAGACCAGAGCAGTTTCCTCCGCAGCAGACAGTCCGTGGTGAATCAGTACGGCAGCTCGAGCAGTCTGTGAAGAGCCAGCAAGCAGATCCCGAGGAGTGCCAGAGCAGTGTTTGAATTAGTATCAGTTAGCTTATTGTGCTGTGGTTTAGTATTGTAATAAGAAAGAAGATTCAGAACAAAAAGGAAATGCTTTAGAAATTCCAGCCAGTGTTTGTAAGGGCTGGGGAAAAAAATCTAAAATATAAATAATAAGGGAAATCACACAGGTATTGGGATTATCACTTTAATTTTCTTATTCGTGTTACTTTGGTTTATTTGTTTGAATCCTAAAGTCCTTTTTAAAGGGCCAAAAATCTTGATGGAAATGGTAATGACAAATACAGTATAACTATATTTTTCTATCAGTTTGTAGTCTCTTACTTCATATAGCAAAGTGTAATATTTCATAGTTATCAGTTTTTCATTACTGATCTTTTCAGTATAAAGTTCTTAGAATGTGCTGGGAAGTGTTCATATTAAATAACAAATCTTTTTTTCGTATGAATTTCTGTCTATAGCCACACTAAAGAGATTTGTTCTTTTTTTGTGCCCAAGTTCTGTAGCATATATGTTGAGCTTTTCTTAACACCCTTAGCAGTAAACTAAATTGCATTTTACTAAACAACAATTCAGATTTCATAGGTTTTGCTCATTGTAAAGTATGGGAACAGTGGAGTTATGAATTATCATTTGAACACAACCTGCCTGTGAGTTTTTGCTGCTTTCACACTGATCAGTTAACATTCATCCGAAGATATTTGAAGCTTTGTTCCCAGTGGACTTTTATACCTGTTTTTTATATAAGCTTTATCTATACTAAACCAAAGTTTTCTTTTGTTTGCTTTTTAAGTTATTACACTTTTAATATTTATGTAACAACACATCTTTGAGATAATCTAATGAATTTAGAACTCAACATATGGACATTTAGCCAACAGTGAGTACGTTTTTTAAGATTTATATTTTTCAAAATTTTTTTATATTTTTCAAAATTCCACCAAAATATGTATATAAAAGTTTTCATGTTCATAATGGAATTAATTTCTGAGGACATATTATATGGTCTTTGTCATCACATCTGTGATATAATACACATACCTTCATAAATAAAGCTGTGCTTTGAGTTTAGATATTAATTTAATGCTTTTTCTTTTGTAATACTTCAAAAGGAAAGTTCATCCAAGTATTACTACAGGGATTCAACCTAAAATGACAGTTGGAAAGAGCAGCAGTTTTCAAAAAATTAATGCACAACTCTATTGTTACTCTCTCTATATATATATATTTGTGTATATACATTCATATGTGTTTTGTATATATATAGGTCTGTGAAATAGAAATAGTAGTTGCAAGCTGCGATATCCTCTGACATGACAGTATAGTTTGAAGTTGCGGCCAAGGGGGCTTTTTAATGAGAGTCATAAATGTGTTCTCTGTTTTCAAGAGCATAAGAAAGTGATGGATAGTCTAGCACTCTTTTACACTTTGTCGACCAGTATTTGTAGTCTATACTTTGAAGGCTTGCATCTGTCCCTGGAAAGTATACCAGCCTGAGGTCCAGTCATGAGCTCAGAATGTTAGAACTGTCAACTGTGTCAGATATTACACTGATGTTGCCTCCTTTTTAAGATTCTGTGAAAAGATTTTACATTATTAAAATGATTTCTTCAGGGAAAGCTTATATCTCATCCTTTTATCTATTAAAAGCTACTTTCTTAGCTATTGGAAATAAAGTTTTCTGTTTTTCTTTAAATATAGTGCACCGTAGTTGTTTGAAATGTTGACACAAGTGTACAGTTCGTAAAAGGTGGTTGTGATAGATATACGATTGTATACTTCTCATCATACTCTGAAAAGCATTAAAGACAAATGTAGCATTGAAGATGCTAGTTTATGATGCTGTCGTAAGTCAGAGAACATTTGATACCTTAAATGGTAAAGTCTAAGCCTATACATGGCTATAATCCGTTGCAGAAAGTGAGTTCTTAGTGCTAGTGGCTACTTTAATGATTCCTATGAGTGAAGTTTAGTAAGAACGTTAAAAATCAGCATCTCTTCAAAATTTCCTAGTGTGTTTGTTGGATTGTAGGCGTGAAAATTTAGCTTGATCTTGTGAAGAAAGAAAAGAATGAAACTGAGTTTTGATCCTGTTTCTGTCTCCCAAGTTCATGGATGTTTTCCTGTTTTTAAAATCAGAGTGACTTCTACATACCTAACACAGCTACAAATCAGTGAGACTGTCAGGTTGGGAGGGTGCTGTGAGCATCTGTTTGAAAGGATGATTGTAGGAGAAGGAGTTGGCTTGCAGTGACATTCTTGATAGCCATTAAAGGAATATTTTGTAAAGTTACTGTGCATTTCCCCACTTCATATGTATCATATGTGTGTGTGAGCGATACTCCTTTTAAAAATATATAAGGTAGAAAGAGAAAAGTTTTCTGTTTGTTTGTTCACTTCCCAGTGGCCAGAACAGATGGAGCTGGGCTGATCTGAAGCCAGGAATTTTTCAGGATCTCCATGTGGGTACAAGGATCTAGTAGCTTGGGCCATCTTCTGCTACTTTCCCAGGTGCATTAACAGAGAGCCAGATAGGAAATGGGGCAGCTGGGACTTAAACCAGTGCCCTTATGGGATACCAGTACTGCAGGTGTCAGCTTTACTTGCTATGCTATGTGGCCCAGCACTTTATGCTTTTTTTTAAAAAAATTCCATTTCTTATTTGAAAGGCATATTTGCAGAGAGAGAAGGAGAAGCAGATAAAAGGAGCTTCAGTCTGCTGGTTCACTCCCCAAATGACTACAGTGTCCTGAGCTGAGCCAATCCGAAGCCAGGAATCTGGAGCTTCTTCCAGGTCTCCCATGTGGGTGCAGGAGCCCAAGAACTTGAACCACCTTTTGTTGCTTTCTCAGGCACATTGGCAGGGAGCTGGGGAAATGGAGCATCTGAGACAGACCAGTGCCCATGCGGGATGCTGGTCCAGCAGGTGGAAGATTAGGCTCCTGCACCTCTACACTGGCCCTGAGCACTTTGTTCTTAAGCATCACTTCCTATCACTTCCCTCAGATCTCTTTCAGGATACCAAATGCCTCTCTGTGCTTTTTGTAACAGTAATGTTAACTGGGTCTTTTACCCCTGATTAATTCCTTATTAAACAGAGTACTCCCGTAAGGCTATAAGTTCCTTTAAAGTAGATCTCCTATTTTTGTGACTATGTGTCCTTGGCTCCTCAGGGCCTGGCATAACACAAGTGTTCAAATGATGGAAAGCAAATGATGATGGATGAACTGCAGCAGTCCTGCCCACGCTCAACCCTTCCCTTGGTTCTTCCCATTTTCCTCTGTTCTCTGGGCTTCACTTGGCAGTCATCATTCCTTGTGAGAGAGGCAAAGTTGCTGTTCCCTAACTGACTCTCTACCCACTTTCCTTTTCCTCTCAGTTGAGGATGACATCTCATCTCTGTGCACACTGGTCCTTGTACCTACATGGTCCTCCTACCTGTATCCAAATCTGCTTTTGTAGAAGTCCAAGAGTGAAAAGTCTGCGTTCTTCTCACACAGCATCCAGGCAACAATCACTTGGTTTCTGTCTCCCACCATCCTCTGCAGTGGGAATGACTGTCTTGTGTTAAGTTGCTACCCTGAATGGCAACTGCCCCCTCTAATAGACTCCTCTGCAGTGGCAGGCTGGGTCAGCTATGTGGTTTCAGAGCCTGACTTGCTGCTTGGGCCTGTGGTTGGGGGTGCTCAGCAAGTGTGTTGAAATGAATAGACATCGTCCCCCACGGGACACACTCCCTCCATGTTTTTTGGTTTTTTATTTTTTGGAGATATTTGAAAGGCAGAACAACCGGTAGAAGAAAGAGGTGTTCTATCCTTGGCTCACTTGCTACGTGACTGTGATAGCTGAGGCTGGGCCAGGCTGAAACCATAGAGAAGAACTCTTTCCAGGTCTCCCGCGTGGTTGCTGGGGACCCAGGTAATTGGGTCATTTGCTGCTGCCTCGCAGGTGCATTAACAAGAAAACTGGATAGAAAATAGAGCAACTGGGCAGGCGCAGTAGCCTAATGGCTAAAGTCCGCACTTTGCCCGTACTGGGATCCCCTATGGGCACCAGCTCACGTCCCAGTGGCCCATTTCTCATCCATATTACTGCTTGTGGCCTGGGAAAGCACAGTAGAGGATGACGCAAAGCCTTGGGACCCTGCACCCACGTGGCAGACATGAAAGAGGCTCCTGGCTTCAGATCAGTTTAGCTCCAGCTGTTGTGGTTACTTGGGGAGTGAATCAGCGGGTGGATGGAAGATCTTCCTCTCTGTGTCTTCTCCTATCAGTATATCTCACTTTCAAATAAAAATAAATCAATCATTTAAAAAAAGAAAAGACAAGAAAATGGAGCAATGGGCACTCCACTAGGGGCCACAGAAGCAGCTCAACCTGCTGCGTTGCAATGCTGGTCCCCATAAGCTCTTTAGCACCTTCATTACTACCATACTGAATCTATCCAGGTCACTAACAGCTCCCTCCTCACCAAATCCCAAAACCTTTATCTCCACAGCATGCTTTGGTAACCTTCCTGCCACACCTGGCATTGTTTAGATGCTCCTTAGTTTGGCGACACATACATGGCCTCACTCCCTCGTGCGCTGACTGTTGCTTTTGTGAAAGTCTGCCCTTTGAGACTGTCATGTTGACTCTTCTTCAGCACTCTCAGGCATCTCCACTGCTAAGCTCTTGCTTGCTTTACTGCTTCTTGGAGCCCATTGTCCACATGCGCTGCCAAAAATAGTTGGCATGCATCTGTCTCTAGCTTTCTGTTCCTTACCTGCTACGTTAGGGTCCCTCGCGGATGCATTTGTCATTTATAACTTTTTCCCAGGTGCTGCTTCTTGAATTATTTTGTCATCAGGCTAAGTTCTCCCCCCTCCAAACATGAAGACATAATGGATTAGCATTGTGGCACAGTGGGTTAAACTGCCTCCTGCAATGCCAGCATCCCATAGGAGCACAAGTTTGAGTCTTAGCAGTTCCCTTTTCCAACCAGCCCTCTGCTCAAGCATCTGAGAAAACACTGGAAGATGGCCAAGTGCTTTTGCCCCAGCCACCCGCATGAGAGACCCAGGAGTTCCAGACTCTTAACTTCAGCCTGGTGCAACCCTAGCTTTTGTGGCCATTTGGACAGTGAACCAGTGAATAGAAGATACTTGTGTAGTTCTTTTTCAAGTAAATATTTTTTAAAATGACATGGAGACATGAAACCTTGGCATTGTTATTCATCAGAGTCTGTATCAAATCCTGTCTGGTCTTAACAAAGCACACCCCTCATTTGCACTGCAATCATTCTAGTCCATGCTTCCATCACATAATATCTGGATTTTGAAAATAAGCTTTCACCTGGAAAAAGCCAAGGAAACATCAATTTAAGATTATACAGCACATAGCTTGGTATTTAGAGAAGGTGCTGTCTTGGATTGACTTCCATCATGTATTTTACATCTTGAATAAAGCAAAAAAAAACAATGTCCTTTAAGAGCAGGAATCATAGTGTGCTTTCACAGCTGCCGTAGCAGTTCAGGCTGATGTGAAATCACAGCATGCCAGAATACATGCAATAAATCTGATTACAGAAAGTAGACAAACTGTAAGCAAAGTGTTTAAAGATACTCAATAGTAAAGGCTTATAAAAATGAATGTGTAATGCATAAAAATCTTATACCAAATATTTTTTTCTTACTTGAGAAGCCAACAGTGCTGGTTTACTCCCAAATGCCTTCAATGGCAAGGCTGCACTGGCCCGAGGTGGGACTCCAGAGCTCAAACCAGATCTCTGACGTGTGCCAGGAAGCCTGTTACTTGGACCATCACCACTGTTTCCCAGTAACTGTATTTGCACAAGTTGGAGCCAGAGAGTAAACCACAGTACCCCAATGCAGGATGCAGACATTGTAACATCTTAACCACCAGGCAAAACACCTCCTGTGTTTTATGTGAGGCACATAATGGGTGATCTTACTCTATTTTAACTTTAATAATTGTATTATAACTGATTCTCTTGCTACTTGGGATAGCTAGGTACTGCAAAGTCAAGGCAAACATCGAGTTAGCAAATACTGAAACACTGCTCATTGTA